TCTGCTTCCCTATCCAAAGGGGCAACAAGGTTCTAGTCTCCAAGATGCACAGGCAGGGGATATAAAGAGTATGGACTAATTCCCTTGAGCCATGGACAGCTTGACAAGGCTTTTCCTGCTCCTTTCCACTGGCTAAAGGCCCTTGCTCTTATGCCAAAAAGGCAGAGGTCTTCATAGGCTCCTAATTCTGTGTGGACTCACATGGAAACTTTTGGCCTTCAGAGCTTTGTGTGTGTTGAGAAGCTGACCTTCAGGGTTATACATTTTCTCACCTACAACCTTTACATTGCTCTGTAGGGGGTAAAAGGAGTGCTGAGCATCACTTTCAGGAAGGTGCCTCCCATGTCTCCAGCAAAGGCCCTGTGATTTTCCTCCAGGATGAGCTAAGATGGGGCACAGCTAAGGGTGGCCTTGGTAAGTGTGGCAGCCCAGCATAGCCAGTCTGGGGAAGGGGGCTGTTCTAAGGCTTTTCTGCAGACAGACTGCACCCCTAAAGCCTCCCTGTGCCTCTCTGGGAGCATTAACTGGGTTGTTTCTCCCCCACAGGAGCAGCTGTGCATGCTGCAGCCCCCTGGGCTCTGGGGTTTGCTGCTGTGGCAATCGGGGCAGTTCTGTGTATGGTCCTTGTAGCTGGTGTGCTGTGGCAAAGGAAGGTGTCAGCAAATGAAATCAATGGATTGCAATAAAGTGGCTGTCAAACCATTTGGTCTGTGGTACAGCTTCTCCTAGAGACCACAGCTGCAAAACTTTATTTGCAAGGCAAAAATTATCCCAATGGCTGTGAAAGCTTTCCAAATGCTCTGAATCCATCTCACTTTCTGGAATTCTTCTGCTGTGGGTTTGGTGTTAGCTGTCCACCAGTTACACGAGGGAGCCGTTGTCATGGCCTGGTCTGCAGACTGAGGCAGGAGTGATGCTGGGTGGTGTCTGCATTTCTCTCAGTGGCTGAGGTAGCCTTCAAAATTACTCTCCTTTCAAACACTGAGCAGAAGTGCAGCAAAACTAACTAAAAGTGGATCCTGCGACTCCTTCTCCTTTGGGAATGCAGAGCAGGTATTGTGTCTGTGCAGAGGAGCTGGAGATTGCCTGCTTGCCTGAGTCACTCGGTAAGTCAGGGCTGTCCTCATGTGCCAGGACTAGAAAGCAAGGATGCCAAAGCACTGCACAAATGGACCTTTCTATTGATGCTGTATGTGTGAACTTACATCTCTTGCCCTAGAAATAGAAGGCAGCAAGTGGGATTTTTCTGGGGAATGAGAGCAAAGAAACATAATTCCAACTGGGAAAAAATTCCCAAAGGGCCTAGGTGCTTTAAACTTCAGGGCAAAAATAATCAAATCTTAAAGATTAATCTCAAACCTTCATGTGAGACAAGGCAGTTAAGAGTCTTCAAGGTCTTGGATTAAAGCTTATTTCACATCACTGTGGGCACAACAGTGCCAGAGAAGTGCTGCTTTTTTTTTGAGATGAGAAATAAAACTTGCTGTTTTAAGCACTGGGGCAGTTCAGTGTGTTGTCAGTCACAGCAGCTGGGTAGCACTGTTCTTAGCTTTTTGAGGTCCTGAGTGAAAGCAGTGCAGCAAAACTCTCCAGGCACTAGAAGAGGAAAGGGGCTCCACCCCTCTCCTTCCTGCCCAGCCTGGGGTAGCTCTGGTGCTTGCATTCACACTGAGATCCCCTAATAGCTAATGGAGTATTCCTTGACAGGAAGGAAAAATGTATTTCCCTTTTCCTCTTTTTCCCCCACAGCCTTGATCAGAAATTCCCCCTGTTAAGGCAGGAGAGAATTCTTAATTGTACTGCTTTGGGGCCCCTAAAGGGGAAGAGTAGCACTTATACATGTGCTACTGACCAGTAGCTTGTTGAGGTAGCAGGTATTGTTTTTTTTAATTAGGCTACATGCTGTGTGATTAGAGGGTGTTAAGGTGCTGGAATCTGCTTTTTAATTCCTTTCCTACTCCAAGAAACTTCAGGAATCATGTTTTTATTTTTCTCACAGAACTGCTCTTCCCTGGTACTTTCCAGATAATGAGTGACTTAGTCTTGCCTGCTTTTAAAACTAATCAGAAGACAAGACTGTTTCAAGTTGTATGGTGGGAGGGTGAAGGAGATCATAGGCTGGAAACAATCTTCAGCTGAAGATAGGTCGAACAGCCTCCTCCTTTAAGGAGTGGCTCTAGCAATTAAATGACCTTGGTACAGGTGGAGCTCTGTCTGGCAAAGCAGAGTGTAAACATAATGTGCCTTATGACAAGTCTTTAGCAGCTGTCTGTAGTGTTAATTAACTGGGTAATTAGAGGAGTAATATAAACCACACCTTTTCAGCCCCCCAGGCAGGGTGCTCTGGCGCTGGTCTTAATTGAGTGTTCAAGCGGAGACTTAAACGCCTCTCTGGCTGCTGCTGGAACCTTCCTATCCCTCAGTAAGGGAGACAGAAATATTTACTTAGAGAGCTTGGAAACCTGTGTGGATACTGAAGGGGCTAGGAGAGCCAAGTCCCTGCTGCCCTCCATGGTGTTGCTGAACCATCCCACAGTAGCTGGGAGCTCTGGGGTCAATAGCCTCTGGGAATCAGACAGATTTCCCTGCAGGGACTGTCCCTTCTAGTACACAGCTGGGTCTTACTGTAATGGACCTGCTGCTTAGTGTAGGGTGCATGCAGTGCCAAGTGGGTAAGCAGAGAAGTGAACTTAATTCTCTTATCTACTCTGGGAAGTCTTCTGTGTTTAAGACTTGCTACTTGGTCAGGAGGACAGGGCAGGAGCAGCAGAGGGATGTGAGCTGTTCCTGTGAAACCCTGGCACAGGGTGAAAGGTAGGCCACGTGGAGATTTGCTCCACTGGTGTATTGGTCCTATCTTCCTTGCCTGTTCTCCAACTCCACTGGGGTGTTAGTGGCTCTTATGGCTCCTGCTATGTGAATTTTTTTTTTTCCTTCTGTGAAAGTGTATTATTTTCCTTCTACCTTCACAGGTGTGTTTCTGGCTTATTTTTTTCTAAGCCTCTACTTTCCCTAGTTGGGTCTCATTGACTTTTGCTTACTCTGTACCACCTGGTTGTGCTATTGAACTAAAGGTGGTGTGAGGTGCTATAGACAGTGGCTTAGACTTCTGCAGGTGAAGGAAAGCTGCTCTGTCCAGGAGGGTACTGCTGGCTGGGAATGAAGGAGCTGAGGAAAAGCAGTCCTGAGGCCATCTGTCAGTTGAGGCTGTTGTGCAGTGCTGAACCCAGATTTATGGAAAGAAACCCTGGTGCTGAGCATCAGCACACTTTGTCCCTAGTGCCTTCACTGGTTCTTCTTGGAAGTGGTGTGTGTGCTGCCTGTCTGTGGCTGCCTGCTCTGGGGCTTTGGAAGCACAGCCCAGCAACAGCACCTAATACAGGGCTGCTCAAAGTTAACACCTACACTTTGCTGTATCTGAATTTTCCAAAGGCTCTCTTTGCCATCTAGATCTTTAAGAACAGCACCTGCTTCAAAAGAGTAAACTTGGTTTTTTGCCAGAGTTAAAAGTTCTTTAGAAGCTTGGAGGTAACAATTCTTTTCCTGACCAACTATGCTCACCTGAAACCCTAAAGGTGTGGTAGTTGCTATACTACAAGCCAGGTGTTTGTTAATAAAATCTGAGGACAATTATCATAATAGTGATGCTTTTATTAAATTTCTTATGCTTGCATTACAATGCATCCTGGAGTAGAGAACTATACAGTATGTTACACATTATAAATACATTTATTTCTGAAAATACATGAATATATTTAATATAATGCTGTAATAAAAAAAGAGTGCTAGCTCATCTGAGTTTAAAAAAATCCAAACCAACAAACTTATAACATGAATGGAGATGGTGGTAGGAAATACCAGTTCATGATGCTACATCTTAAAACACATTAAATTCAGTTTGCACTGATTCACATTCGTTACAGTCTCTGTAAAGCTGGAGAGATAATGGGGGTGTATGTTAATGCAGGATTTTTGTTCCCTGTATGTATGGAGATATACAGATTATTCACAGAATAATCAAGTAATAAATCTTTCTAGCTTTGGATGAAGCTAGCAAGATACACAGTGAATAACCAAGTCCTGCAGCAGCAGCCGCTACAACTGAAACATTAAACACAGCACCTACTTTAGGGTGCTAACTTTGAGTCAGCACAGACCTTTTTCTTTTTAATTGGGCTTTGGTTATTTCGTTTGGGGGTTTTGTGGGGGTTTTTTTTGAGGTGCTAAGTAACAACAGTAGCAACCCTTCTGAGTACTTGGAGCACTAGGCGTGGGCTACTGCCTTCACTCATCCCTACAAACCACAGCTGCCCTTGGAGAGCATGGCTGAGCTGCTCTGAATTCCAGAAAAGATCCTGCTCTGGTTTGGAGGACTCCAAGGGCTCCAACTGATCTGGATGAGCAACGGTGAAGCATCTGTTACCGAGAGACCTTGTCTGCTGAAGCTTCTTAAATCTTGGTTCTCAGGCAAGTTTGGGTTGGGGAGAGATTTTTAAACACCAGTTGCTTAACTTCTAATTAGATTTTAATTTACGGGGTAGAATGATGCTTTATCAAGTGGCAAGTTTAGTTTACTTAAATCTTTACTCTGTGTGCATTAATTATTTTGCTAGTACCAATGAGAGCTAGTGCACAGAGACCACTGCAACCATGGGACTTTCAGAAGCATGCACTGTCTGTTCCTTGAGTCTGGAATCAGCAAACACGTGGCAATAAGGCAGCCACCAAATACATTAAGAACTGTATAACAGTACAAGTGTATCCCAAAAGAGCAGCAGTTTATAAAGAATGTATTTGAATAACTGCCTTGCAGCTCTGCTCTCCTTCTCACCTTTTCCCATCAGAGACTGCTGGCTGAGCCACACAGCAGCATGACTGCTCCACCTACAGCCTCAGGCTCTCACCTGCACAGACAGAGGACTTAAATGTAACTTAAAAGTAGGAATTCAAGCCTGGTGTCCCACCTTGCCCCTCCCCCTGCCGCCAAAAAAAAAAAAAAAAAAAAAAAAAAAAGGAAAGAAAAATTAAAAGACTGGTAGCACAAGAGTTGGGCTGCCCAGTGAAGCAGAGGCATTGCCCTGGGTGTGCCCTGCAGTCTCTGGAAAGGCTGATTCCTGCATTACCTCTCACTCTGGTCTCTACAATGAGCATGCACAATGCCAGCTTCTGTGTAGGGTAGTACTGGAGTCTGGGGGCCCCTGCAGAAGGAGTAGGCTCACAGGATGGGAAGCTAGTCCTGGATTAAGGAATGACTTCAGCTTTACACACTTGGTTTTCCTGTTGGATTCAAGCAAAATGGCACAGCTGGCCATATGCTGCTCTGAAGGGAGGAGCTGTGCTGGGGACAAGCAGAGACTGCAACTCAGACCCCCAGAAGGAGGAGGCTCTCCTTTCAGCAGCCACTTCTGCACTGGGCAAGGAATCCCTGGCACTCCTTTAGATGATGCTGTGTCCCATAAAGCTTACATTTATTTCACCTGGAGAAAGTCCCCAGAAAGCAATGACAGTTTAAAAGCTTCAGTGTTTCAGGTAGTTCTGTTCCTAACCCAGACTGGAGGAAGAATTTCTGAGTCTTAAAAGTCTCTGTTGGTTATGTTGCTATGATGCTAATAGAAATTTTCATCCATGACTTTTGTAAATACACTTCAAGTTCAGGAGCGAAGCCAAACATAGCTGAGGATGCCTCTGCCCACAGACCCTTCTCAACCTCCCCCTTCCCTCTTTCCCTTTCCATGCTCAAATCAGAGTTGCTCTGTTGACAACTGTAGGATGCAGATTGCACAAAGTAACCCTGGAGTTCTTGGTTTTGTGTCCTTTGGTGTTCTCATGTTGCCTTTCTGAAACAGAAACATACAGTGAATGTGAGATTAGGGAGAGTTTTTCTGCATTTAACCGGTAGGCTGAGTTGGGAAGGTGGCAGATGAAACAGAGGCTGGTTCTCATTTAGTCTTTATTAGGGACAGATTGTCTCTTTCCCAAGACATCTGGTTGGTTTATTATTTGGGAGTCTTTTGACTGACTGTAGGTAAATGAATTTGGTGCTATTTTTTATTTTTTGTAAAAAGGCTGTGTGATGTAGCCTGTATGACTACAGTTACCTTTAAATTGTGGGTTAAAATAAAAAAACCCAACAAACCAAAAACTGGAGGACTATAAAAATGAAGATATAGGGGCCAGTCATCAGCAGGTGTAAACCCATATAATCTGAACTTCAAAAATGAGACCTGTTGCTGTCTTTGCATGATGGACTGTGTCTGGAAGAAGGAACAGGACTACCTCATTTCTGTGCTGAGAAGAGGCAAAAAAATCCCCCAACCCACAAGGAAACACATGCTGCTTTACCTTGTTCCATTTGACTCGTGTTATCAGAAAGGCCACATGTTTTCATTCTTTGTATTTTGTCCCAGAATGATCATGGAGTTCCTCTCAGTTTTCTTCAGCTCCGAAGACATAATATCTGGCCTTAGCAAATGGAAAAATACAATTGAATTTGACAGGGGTCAGAATGCATGGCTGTGTTTTTAACGTTAATATGCTGTGCATATGTACCCAACATCCAAGCTGTACCCAAAGCAGCTCCCTCTTCTCCAGTCTGAAATTCCAAAACAGATGCTGTCCAAATATTTGTGGCAGCGTGCAAAAAAAGAGAGAGCCACAAAATGCAGCACTTGGCATGGAGTCACACTAATGGATGGACACAAACATCATTTTGTTGAGAGCAACCAGTATTTTCTGCCTAGCTAGCAGCCAGGGCACAGACTCATGATTCAATGTCACAGTGAAGTTAAAAATTCTGGCCTGAAGTAGTAAATAGGAAATTAAGTGTTTTGAAGAGCAACACTAAGCTAGCTGCTGTGGACTGTCTCCAGCCTATTTTTTTGTTCATTATTTATTACACATGATTGAAATAAGTATAATATATCCTGTTTGGTTGAAATTACTTAGCTTAGGCCTCCAGGACTTGTGTCCTTTTAGAATACCTTCTAAACATTTTTTAAAATAGCTTCTGTTTAAGAAAGAAAAGCTCTAGTTTGGGGTTTTTTTTAAGCAGTATTTGAAAGTTATTTACAGAAAATAAATGGCTATTTACTTCAAATATTTGATTTGAAAAATTTTCAACTGAAAGTCCTGACTGATGTGGTGCAGACTCTTTTTGTTGTCAACTACTATTTTGGTTTTTATCTAAATGTTGCATGTTTTCCTGTTTGTTCAGCTCTTAGTTCTTTTACAATGGGATGGTCAAACTTCTGCATTGATGATGTTCTTTAATTCTTTGTCTGTTTCTCAACACTGAGCACAGGGATCTCCCTTAGTAGTAATTTCCCAAGTGAAAAGCAGTGTTCAGACCTGGGTCTGAGGTTCTAGGGACCTTTTCAACCTTTGCTGTACAGTACTGAAGATAGGGGTTTGTAATACAAGAGCTGCACTTGTCATTCCTTAATGACTTTGCCCTAACCACAAAGTAGGTGTCATACAGCAGCAAGCTTTTGGTGGCTTCAAACTGAAACTATTATCTTTACCATGAAAAATACTGTATTTGAGGCTAGCTCATGCCCATGCAGCTGTATTAAAGCTATAGCTCCCATAGAGAGCCAGGTGGGTATGTCTGCACAGGAATGTCAGGAGGGGATTGCTCAAAGCTGCTCACATCAGGTCCTGTCCTGGAAAGCTGGGTCCATGTGCTGCCTAAGTTCATAACACCATGCTCAAGTCAGTCATCAGCCTGTTCTGCCCCTTTGCACAAAATAGATGTTGCTTTGCAGGAATAAATGTACTAGCAGGAAAAAGAAAATGAAATGAAAACCTGAGCCTGTTTAGAACAATGTATGACAAACCACTGAGTCCTGTGCCAGTATGTTTACCTTGGCAGGCCCCCCTCTCTCCTGCTAAAAGAACCAAGTTCTCTCTCTACTATGAGAATTCTTTTGTGGATGTTTAAAACAAAAAGAAAAAAAGGAGACAGAAAAGAAAAACAAAACAACTGCCCTGGAGTAGATCATTCATCATACACAGAGTGGGAGCATAAAAGGGGATTTGCTTTGACCTAGTTACAAAAACAAAAACAAAGAGACTTTCTCTAATTGCCCAAATGACTCAAGTGGGACTGGGTGTCAAAAGCAACAAACTCTTCTTCCTTGGGAGCTGTGTTAATATAGGGCACCGAGATCCAGCCTGTTCCAGTTTGAGACCTGGAGCCCAAGGAAGCCCGGGTAAGCAAAAGCCAGCCAGCTCCATATGCCTGCACGTATAAACAGGACTAGGAGCCAGGACAAACATGTTTCATAAATTATAACAAAGACAGTGGCTTTAAATGCTGAGAGTATCAGGCCTTCAAGGTTTGCTTTGCCAAGAGCTACAGATGAGTGAGACCTTCTCGCTTTACAAAGGGTCTGTCTTTCTGTCCAGCAGCATTTGCCAGCCTGTCATTGATCCATTAAGCCTAACTTTCTATTTCATAGGAGCCTGAAGGCAACTGCATATCCAAATGCCACGTGACCAAGGTGCCCAAATTTTCCAGGTCAGTGTCAGTACATTGTTATTGCTGGGTTTGGGGTAAAAAGAACAAGATCAAATACAGATAGGGCTAGGGAATAAGGAAATGGAGGCAGATAAAGGGGCATAAGTAGAGCCAAGGGGTCCATGTAGATATACACGAGAAGAAAGTTAGTGAAAGAAAAGGCCATTCATCAGCTATAGAAAGCAGCCTGGAAAAATCAGTGTACAAGATGTCTGGGGCTGCCCAGTTACAACCAGGTAAAAAATTGTCCATTTGGCATCTCACTGTATAGCATTTCCATGACAGCCATAGTTCTCATGGAAATTTCTAGGGAGCTAGAATTTCTGTTAGGAGCTATTGGGCTGGCCCTTTTTTGGAAGTATATCAGTTTAGGCACCTGAAGATCTAGCCTTCAATTCTCATGCAGAAAGCACTGGCACTGGCCTCTGTGCTGCAGGGAAAAAGCCAAGCAGGAGGTTAAAGAGACAGAACTTTTCTGAAACCCAAATAAAGTCCTGATTCTATTGAGGTTTAGAGGAAAGGTTCACAGGAGTTTGTATTTTTTCCCCAGCTGGTTCACCATCTATTTTAGATGGAACTGTTTGATCTCTTTCTGCTTTGTGTTTCTTTCAGTTTCCCAAACAATAGGAGGAAGTTCGCCTGTTACGTGTGCTTGGGCCCCAACCAAGCTTTTCCCAGCTGGAAAAGTCACTCCATGAACTACAGAGGGGTTTTTTTGAGCTGTAATTACAAGATTCCCAGTTCCCTTATGTATTTTGTAAGGTAGGTACAGGCTGTCTTAAGGGGAACAATAGGACATTCCTGAGTGCTTAAACAACTGCTGTTTCCCTACCATCACCCCCTCTAAAACCTGAGGAGGGCTTAAGCACATTTGAGCTGTTCTGCCCAAGGTTACTGAGACCTCAGCTGAAAAAACATACAGGGAGGTGCACAGCTCCATGTAATGCTCCTGCTTTGGTGAGTAAGATACCCAGGCTCTTCCTGTTACCTGATTATATACACAAACACTCCAAATTCATCAGACTAGCTGGGAGAACTTGGCAAGCACACTGGGAATATCTGTACAAGGGGTAGCTGGCAGCACTGTCAGATAGACGTGCACCACACAGTACAGCTCAGAGGCCAGCCTGTAACTAGCCTGGTAGACAAGCTTGTCTACGGGACCAGCATGGAACCCTTAATAGAAATAAGACCTCGTGCTTGACCCAAATATTCATCTACAGCAACAAGCAGGTCCCACTCATGAGCATATGCTCAGTAAACTTCATCTCCCTTCCTCTGACAGGAAACCATCCCGCTGATCCTGACTGTCCCATCCCATCACACATCAGGTGCCATATTGGTTACTGTTCACTGGATGAAAGGTGGGAAAGTGGACAAAGGAGAGCATTAACCTTGACTGTAATGCTTAGGAGGGAGCAGAAAGACAAGTAATTAGACTACAGAGTGGCTCTGGCTAATTGTCATCATCCCCTTGTCCTGCTGGGGGGCAAGCACCATCTTTTAGGGACCCTAATACTTCCATTATTCTTACACAGGTAACATCAAGTTGGGATCTTAGAGCATCTGGGCACTAAGGAAGCAAATGGCACTACTGGCCACGACCAGCATATGCAATGGAGAGAAGGTAAGGAGTGGTCTTCTCCAGGCATCAACAACGAGAGGTAAATCTTCTATCACCTCCTCCCAACACTGAGTGAAAATCTCCCGTAGCATTGCCTCACCTGTACAACTGTGGGCAGGACCTCTTCAGAGCAGCAGAGGTCAGTCCCAGCTTGTTCTGATTTCTCAACCGTGTCTTTCTCATAAGATCTCTCATTCTCCCCCAAGCATGGCTCTCACCCTAGGGAGCAAAAAGAAACCACAACTTGAAAGACCAGTGGCAAATTGCTGGCAGACCTCATCTGGCCAACATATGATACTTTGGGGTACTCCAGGGTGGTGGGAAGAGGGCAACTTCTTTCAGACAGATAGGGGGCAGGTCCCACAAAAGAATTTTTAACACTGTGCAATGATACCTAGTGGCCAGCCTGTACCTATACAGGAAACAAGGAGACAGGATGGAAGAATTGTGAGTAACACCATCCTTTTTTTGTATTTTGTTTGGTAACATTTCCCTGTCTAGGACGCTGCTGTTCTATTTGACTTCAGGGTTCAGAGAGTGAGGGCACCTCAGTGGTGAGTGCTAAGTAGCTGCCTAAGGGCAGTTTTACCCTATTGTTATACTGTACTAAAGGAAAAGATCTGTTTGGTTTCCTATCTACTCACATGCACCCAGGGGGCCTTTACAACAAAACCCAAAAAAGTAGTTTGACTCTCTTATCCTTTCTATTAGGCCAGGTGCACTGTTATCAGCCCTTTTCAAGGTGGTGACTTTTGTGGACCATGAATTAGAAGAGATCAGGCTTTTTTTTCCCCTGTCACGTCTGCAAGCCACAGCTATTGGGCCCTTACATTTGAAATGCTAATAGAGATTATCAGGAGGTCAGGGAGTCTCTGGAGGCCATCCCTAATGTTTATTCTCTCCAGGCTGAGGTCATCTGGACTCCTGAACTAAAAGGAGCTAAGCATCAAAAATTTTAATGTTCTTTTTCTATATTGTTTTAAATTTCCTAAAGTGATGGCTGGAAGACTTTGGGAACAGAACAAAAATGATCATGCCCCAGAACTAGCATAACGGGTAGAAACGATTCCCATTTCACTAAAGTTCTCAAACCATTATCACGGTTGGAGTATTGTTTTGCCCTGTCCCAAGGTTCCTGCCCACTGTGCCACCTGCAGAGCCATTACTACAGGAGTTGTGGCCACTTTGAGAGCACAACCTGGCAGCTGCCCAGCCACACGTACCAGCCCCAGCAGTGCCTACTGCAGTAACTGCTTGGGGCTCTACAAAGTTTTCAGTTCAAAACTTCAGATGAGGTCACAGGCTCAGCTGAGAACTGCAACACAAGATTCTGTGCTATTGAGTTAATTGCCTGTAAACGAGACTGTTTACTCATGGAAATAGCAAACCTTTGTGTTTACTACTAGGATTAATGTGTGCTGTAACAGGGTTTTGGAGGCCTCGGCAGTTAGTCCCTCGTTGTGCTGGTGCTGTCTCAGAAAAGCAAGAACAGCTGATACCGCAGAAAGCCTGAGCAGTTGCCTGCTCCTGAGGGCTGTCGTCTGCAGTGGGGGTGGCAGAACAAGGGGCCACACGGGTAAGTCATAATACTTGTGTGTCTGTTACTTTGATAGTAAACTTCGGGAGTCAACAAACCTCTTTTGTTCAAGTACAATGCTGTGCAGTACAGCAGCTTGGTCCCTGATAATGCAGGCACAAGTTAAAAATATTCTGCAAAGACAGTACGTACCGAGATGTTCTTGCTGACATCCAGACCCTAAAAACAAAAGGCAAATACATTGATAAATAACAAGCCAGTGAGACCATCTCCCATTGTTGGCAAAAGACTAGGCTTTGTTCTCAGCTCTGCCCTGGCATATACCCATAGCCTTGGTCAAGTCCTTTATCTCTTTACTGTTCAGTCTCTCACATGTGTGATAATCCCTTCTTTCTTTTACCACCTCTCATCTCTCTTTTGTATTTAGACTGCCAGTTCATGTCTATAGTACTTAGTACCCTTAGGATGAGCGTAGCAGACAGAATTCCAATACAGTAGGAATAAATGGGGCATTTCATGTTCAGGTTACAAAATCTAATACTAAGTGACAATACTAAGGTGTGATGTAACAAAAGAGCATGGATCTTGTTCTTCAGTCCTGTGAAGTCATCAGGACTTTCCGTGTGCTTAAAATACTCTGTAAACTGGCTGGACACGAGCCAGAACATGGAGCACCTTTCAGAATTCAGCCTTAATTTGATTTCTGAAGTTCATCGAAGTGTTTGTGACCTATTTCCAACTTCAGGGTGGAAATTTCATGAGAAGGTCTTTCCCATGAGAGACCTACTCCTTCCTCTTTCCTGTTGGGCTGGGAATATTCTGATTAGAGTCTCTGTGCTGGCATTTCAGCACTTCTGATCCCCACCGGAACATGAAAGTGCTGAGGCAGCCACAAACAATGGGAAAGAAAGGGAGAGGAAAGCACTCATCCTGGCTCCCTTGGACTTCAGAGCCATGGATTCCCTAAGATATGCTTTGGGGACTGGAGCTAATTACATTGATATACTGCTAGTCTAGTAGTAAGTGTGGCCAGCTAAGGATTGATCCACTAAAATTTTTTTATGTGGTCATGAATGCTTGGTTTAATCTCACTAACATCAGTAGTGAAGATACTTATGACAGAGTCTACACACTGAGCTGTTTGGAGTTAGTGAGGGCTAAAACCCATGCTGCTCTCTGCAGTGTTCCCCTCCCCTGCACCAGTGATCCATTTGTGCCTTTCTTGGCCTAAAGGCAGTCCTTCATTTAAATCTGGGAGTAGAGGGACACAGACCACCCTGGCCCTCACTGCCCCAGCCCTGCTTGATAGCAGACAGGTTGGTTTGTTCCCCTGGTACCCCACACTCATCTGCCTGAGCAGAACTTCTCTCTGCTTCTCCCATAGGTCCCACTCAGGGTCTGCCTTCAAGCTTATCACTCACCTTTCTTACTGAAGGGTCCTTTGACGGAAAAGCCTGTCCCTCAGCCATACTGCCAGCTTCTCTGAACTCATTCTCCTTGTTCCTGTTGTTTGATGACTTCCTGAGCCCCACCATCAACTGGCTCTTTCCTGATTCCGAGTCTCTCTCGCTTCCTGCAATAAAATGCAAGGACTTGCTCACTTTTCTTAGCAGTGTCCTGCTAGGATGGCCTCTGGGCAGTGCTTCCAGCAAGTTACGACTCCAGATGGGATGAGAACGCTAAGGACTTAAAGATGGGATGAGACTACGTGTGTCTTCATGCCACACTGCAGTGGAGAAAAGGTTAATGCTCTAATAAAGTGCCTGACCATGGCAGGACTTTCTAAGGGTTTCTTCGTGATCTTATTTTCCTTCCAAGCCTGCTCTGAAAGTGCCAGGAAAGGATAATTTTGAGCCTCAGCACTAGAGATCCCTAAGGCCAGTTATACCCTGACTCAGTCCTCCTAGGAGGTGTGCTGAGGTTCTGGGTTTCACTGGGTATTAGAGACAGGCTGAAGTCCAAGGTTTGAAATAAACTCATTAGCCTCACTTAGTGAGTTGGTTGACATCTAACATTGGATCCAGACTTTTCATCTGGCTTTATCATCAGTAGGCTGAGCCCAGTCTTTCTCAGCCTTCTGGGAAAGTTGGTCTCTGATCCAAGCTTTGCAGCTGGGGCTTATTTCCACTTGGTCTGTAGAACAAGTCATCCTCCAGGAATGTGTTCTGTGCCTACTTGAGAGGGTAGGAGACTAACAACAGGCTTAAGGCTTTCCATCTTAGATCAAATCCTACCTTGCCTGGGAAGATTTTAAAGCCACACAGAGGGGCTCCACTAATGGGCCCATTTGGGCATGCTAAGTTTCCAAAAGAAAGACCTATTTTATAATGCATTTATCCTGATCTTTCTAGCCACAGCTGCAGAGCAAAAAGCCCTGATTCACACAAGTGAAGCAGCCAGTGTTAAAATCCTAGGTATAGACAAAGCATTTTAAATTGCTTCTCTTGGATTTCCAGCTAAGGTTTAGTTCTACTAACACCTTGCTCTGTCCCCATCTGTCTTTCCTAGGGAGAAGAAAGTGGCTGGTCAGCTTATTTGACCAAGTGGTGGCAAACAGGAGGGCAGGTTAGGCATATCTGAACTCACCATTGCAGCTGCTCAGCTTTTCAGTGTTCGCTCCTATTTCTGGAATGATGGAAAGATCAGATGGGTTTCCAGTCTGAACCAAGAGGCTGTGAGGTCTGCTCCTCCCAGCAAACATTGTTTTAATGTCTTGATGTGAGCTGAGGAAGATGCTGGCAGCTCCACAGGAGCAATGCTGCAGAAGGTATTCCTATATCAGACAAAAAGAAAGTATGCAGGCTTTCAGGCTGCAACAGCCTCAGGTAACTGGGCAGCGTGATAGCACAGACAAATTGCAATCATTCCAGCCCAGGGATGTCCATCCTTGTCCTGAGACCCACTAGAACCCAGACAAATTATTTAATTTTCTAAAAGGCTGAGAAGCCTGGAGTTGGTAATACAGAGTTTTCATGGATTCATTAGCATTTAACTTAAATTGCCCGATACTAAGCATCTTTTTGGTTTGTTTCCTAGGAAGAACTGAATACAAGTGTCTAAACACAGAGCTGCACAGCTAAGGCATTAGTGTAAATAAACAGATCCATTATAACAATGACTCAAATTTTAAGATAATGTTATTTGTTTTGGAACGTGCACAGACAACAATATCTTGTATTTTTGTTGGTGGGATGCCACAGTTCTCTTGCATTTTATCAGTCAGATTGACTGTATGTGGTATTTCAGCCAGTGTACTTCTGCTGTAGCTTGTGGGGCAGAAAGGGGAGATTTTCTACCTTGCATGACCATGTTGCACAAGAATTTAGTAGGGCAGGAAGCAAGAAGAGTTTTATCCAGCCGAAGCAGAAAAGGAACCACACTGTTTATTGGTTTTGGAACCAGGACAGGCCAACACCAGTTTAGCTCCTCTGGAGACAAGCAATTGACAGTTTCAATGTCACTTCTCATCTGGTTATGTTGTCACAACAGCATGGCACTTTGCGTTACTTATACCTTTGGGAGGTGCTTTGAAAATCTGATGAAAGATGCTGGGTTTGGCCCATGGTATTATAGATTTCCCTGTAAAGCAAAGAATGGGGAGCAACACTGTTCCCTTTGTGTCCCAGGATCGAAGTGTCATCAGTCTCTGTGGTGATGTCTGTACTACTCTCAAGAACAGCATTGGGAGCACTGGTTACCTACAATCCTCATGACCAGCTCTTAATACCACACTAACCAATCTCTGCTTTGGGGGTTGTGTCTTCCTGAGCCATGGCTGGGACATGGAAACCTTTCCATGCTCATGAAGAGTGAACATAGTTTGTAAAGGAGCCTTTGGAATCCCTCCAAAAATATGATGTGGACAGCAATCTTCACGTCCCATGCCAAATGGGGTAGTAGTGTTCCTCTTCTACACAGAGGGGCTATGACTAAAGAACAAAATGGCAGAGAGCTGCTCAAATATAGGAGATGCAGGCACCACAGAGATACCTGGGAGAGCATCCAGTTTGGTAGAGCACACGGCAAGTGCTGAATGTTACAACTGGGGATCCAGTTCCCCACTGAACAGTATGGGACAAATGCATCTCCAAAGGCACTGCTGAGAGATCTTGAAGAGTACCAAAAAGATCAAAGTTTGAAATATTTAAATGAAAGCACGGTGCCTTTCATTTCAGTGGGAGCTGGGGAGGGGGCACATACACCAGATGAGTTTGCAGCTTGGAAGAGTTACTTTGAGCAATGACTCACAATTGTAAAGCTCCAGGAAATGTGTTAACAATTCCCAGGCTCTATGTAGGAGGCTGCATTCCTCTGAGCATGAGATGGGTACATGGAAATTACGAGCTACTTTGCTCTGCAACCTGACTCAGAACTTGGCTTTGGCTCTGAGGAGGAGTCAGTCACCTACTGCAGATCTAGTCCCAGCAGGTGGGAGAGCAGCACCAGGGGAAGAATGACGCTATCGGGAGAATAAAAGACTCGCCACAGCACAGCTGGGAAGAAATAGTTGAGTGTGACAAACTCCTTCTGTTCCTTTGGGGAGTGATAAAATAAATAGAAAAGCAGGGGAGGAAGAAAGCTGGAAACCTTGTGTGGTGGCTGAAGAAAAAAAAAAAGAGAAGTAGAGGTGGGGTAGAGCTGAACAAAATATGCGGGGGCAAAAAAATGCTGTTTAGGTGGACACTGAAATGATTTGCAAATTTCAGTCAAATTCCTCAGCTAGCTCTGGCTGATAAAAATGACAAATGGGAACACTGAGATGTTTTGTGTCAGAGATTCTTCATCTGGCAGCTCAGAAGCACAAGAAGGGAAAGAAAACATGGAGTTGGGTAGTAGCACCACTACTTCTCTTTCCCATTGTATCGTTTTGTGAGAAATTCTGGGATTTTGACATTTGAAGGAAGAAATATCTCTTAATTCAAAACACAATTGCTAAGGAGGTCTGCAGATTTCGTTTTGATAGCACTGAGGAGAGGAGATGTGTTCCTGGGAAGTTTACAACTGTAGAGAAGTAAAAGCTAATGACTTAAGAGCTGGCCATCGCATGAGGTGAGAGGGGTGCTTTTTAAGTCAACAGAAGCAAGCACATCTGGGAAGCAAAATTGAACAGGAACAGAAACCCAAGCCCACGCTCAGGAAACTAAGCCCATTGTGGTGGGCAAGAGTTCCCTGAAGACCAAAGTATCCAGCCCAGGTGGGTGATGGATCTGGTAAATTAGCATCTTCCCTCACACAGAACTTTCCATCTGGGCCATGACTATATAATTTAATGGAAGATGCTATGGTGTCTGCTTACCTCTTTTAACTGGCACATCTTCTGCTCTTTCTGCAAGCTGCACACCTGTTTTTGGAGACGCAGGTTGTGCTCCTGCAGCTGCCCAATCTTTTCAATCAGTTGGCAAATGTGTTCTAGGTATCCCAGACCAGATCCCAGGGCTTTGCTGTTACCTTGGTTCACCTGCAAAGACAATGCATCTTGGACCATGGAGTAACAACAGAGCAATTCTTACTAGCAGCTAAGAGACCTACACACTCCTTACAGTCATGTGTGCTTCCTCTTGCAAGGGACTTTGGTCATAGACAGATTTGAGCTACAGCATTGCTTGCTGGAGCTCTTTTCTGGATTACTCAGCAATATCCACCATCAGAGGGACTCCTGACTGATCACAGCCTGACACAGAGGAAAACCTCACGACAACTTGTTTCTAGTTCCACCTCTCAGGCTAATTTTTCTCTTTTAGTACACACAGGACCCTTACAAACAAATATGATTCTACTGTATGGTATAGATGGCTGGGGCTAGTATGGCTCACTTAGCCCATAGTCCTCAGTGCAAATCATGCTTATGTGTACTGAGGTTGAGCTTGGCTCCTACCCAAAGGCACGTATCTGCAGGTTGCATTGATTTGCTGCACTGTGGCCAACCTGAGGGTACATTTTGTCTGATGTACTCCGACTGGTACATCACAAGTGAGTCTCTAAGAGAGACGTGTGTCTGAACCAAGCTGCCAAAGAGAAAGAACATCTTTCCACTGGTCTTTACCAGATGCAAACTTACATCCCTGTTGTTGTTTTCTCAGTCTTTAAGAGATGCCCAAAGAAAGTCTGCAGGATCAACTTTGCTGTCTGGCTGTAGTAGGATAATCTCTACTACCACTCTCTCTTCACCTGCCGGAGTCTCACTGCTGCTCAGCCGAAGGCAGTGCCAGAGACTGAAATCCTGTGGGAGGGGAAAGGCAATGATGCTTCCCTGCCCCCTGCTCTGCACCTCACCATTTCTGGTCCCAGGACTTCCCTGTGCACAGCAAGTGTCCTCCCCTGTGCCGTGAGCAGGCTGTGTCGAACGTGATGCAAACAAACACATGCAGAGGCTCACTTCCACCTTGGCGCTGCCTGCTGATGTGCGTGTGATATCAGTAAGTAAAATAAGCTTCGATCTTTACAAAAGCAGTGCTCTAAGTTTATCTTACTTCAAAAAATAAGTTCCCTCTACAAAAGCAGGAAGCTTACTCTGTCTCCTTTCCCACAACAATCTACATTTTTGGGGAAATGCCAGCCTTAGGACTCTTCCTGTCTTTTCATTATGTCAGAAAGCTCATGGTGTGTTCAAAAATAATCAACATTAGGATTTACTTCTTTTTAAACAAATGATGATACAACGTTATTTATAAACAGGTATTATTATATCCAGATGGTTTTGTGTCTGAGGTTGGGACAGAGGTTGTTGACTCCAAGCCAACCAGTCATTCATATTCACGATTTTTTGTTTCCTCTCAGGCAGAGCCTGCAGAAGTGATGGCAAGACAAAAGTTACTCAGCCACGAAACTGAGTACTCAGTGTGGCTGTGCAGCGAGAAGGAGCACAGCCCCAGGACCCAAAGGGAGACCAAAGCCTGTGTGGTGTCCGGTGAGAAAAGCTTGAATCAAAAGCACTATAACCAACATATCTGAAAGCAGCTAGGGATTTGGGGGTGCCTAGCTTCAGAAGCATGATTTTCAGAAAGTACATGAGTATCAGCTTCTGAAAATTTGGCCATTTTGAGCAGTCCTGAAATGAATAGCAATTTTTTGTATGCTGTCCCAATGGGTTGTCAGATGTTCCTCATTAGCCTTGAAAATATAAGTTTTCTGCCACACTGCACCCTCTTTTTGCACATCTAGCAACTCCCCTTCCTGCCAGTTTGCTTTTGCATGACTGTTGGCACGTCTATTGCCTTAAGGAGTCACTGAGCCAAATCTAACTCCTTATATCTGTGGAAACAAAAGGGGAGGGTACAAGGGACAGAGGAGGTCTTGGAGAAGAGGATGATATAAAATATTTAGTTCTAACTTAGATTGCAGAAAAAGCATGAAGCATTTGTGACCTCTTTCAGTTAGAGATCCTCTTTTTGTTTGTCCTGTACTTAATGCTGTACGGTCCTGCTTCATGTCTGCAGCTGCTAGGTTGGTACGGCAAAATGGGCAGGGTGAAGAGAAGAGAAGGTGGCCCTGATTTCCAGTGCTCTGTGTCTAGGGCTGAAGGCACTGGAAAGAAAAGGTGTATTTGGGGCAGACATGGAGAAAATCTGGCTTCTAGCAAAAGTTAGACAGAACTTCTAACTCCTGAGAGTAAATTCAGGTGCCCAGAAAATGAGAGGGAAAAGGTGCAGAGTAGTTGCTCCAGGTCTTAGGTGGATCTACTCCTGCAGAGGACCTAAACCAGACTGAAGGTTGGACTCAATATGCTAAAGACCCCAGACAGAGGAAACAGCCAGCTTTCAGAGGCTGCTTAGGGCAGGCAGTTTGGCCTATTTGATAGGAAATTTATCTGCATTTTATTGAAGTGATCCCAGAAAGTGCAAATGAGCAAGAGGAAAATCAGGCAGAGCCTCCTGTGCCCGCACATTCCTGCAGGGCCAACCACCTCAGTGGTCAGCATGCAAGAGTAGAAACTTTTGGGGGGGGCTTGCTTCACCTGGCTTGCCCTGACACAGAGCCTGTTTAGCTTCAGAATTGCTCAGATGTGGTAGGCGTTTGATACAGAAAATTTGTGCAATGTAGCTGGTTTCCCCCAAAACAATTGCACAGAGAGGGCCTCTCTAGGAACCCTTCAAGGACTTCGTTTTTCCATAGACTAGAAATACCTAAACAGCCCTTGATATCTTCTGGTGATACCAAGTGCATAGAACCTGGTCTGTCCTATTCTGGTCTAAATATTTTCCTTTCAGCACCTGAGACAGTTTTATGCTAGTAGTGAACAGTAAGGAACCATAGAAAAACTGCAAACATTTTCCAGGATGAGTCTCTTCCACTTTCTGTCCTTCCAGTTGAAGCTTCCCAAAATATTCACCTAACAAGACCGAATTTTTTCCCACTCCACACATGGGAGTTATCAAGTAGTGTTGGAACAAAAGCTGTATGCCCATTTTTGAGCTGATGAAACCTACAAAGAAGGAAAAACACCTTGCCTACTTTTCTGCAAGGTAAAGATGAGAAGGATCAGACAGACACAATTTATGAATCGAATGGTTGAAGTTGCTCTAGGAAAGTAACGATATAATGTATAAGTAGGTGCCAGATTTTGCTTTTAGGTACATGAGACTGAGCCAGACCCTCATCTGGAAGAAAAGGAGTCAAAGGCACTCAGCTATGCTGTGCTGAGTTACTTCCATTACAGTTTTGACCCTGCAGAGTTGAGGTGCACTACACTGACTTTACACCTGTGTAACTAAAAAGAGATCTCTGCCCTTGTCAGTGCTCACCTGAGTAAGTTTTGGGGACAGCTTCTCAGTACATGTGTCTCTGGCAATAAACCATTACAGTTGTGCTGGCCCACAGATTTCTTAGGAAGTTTAAAAATACAGGATCAGTATCTGCACTGGGAACTATGGCTAATCCAGAGCCCTCCAGGCAATATTTTGACTAGTGTAAAATCACTTTTCCTCTGAGGCTACCCAAGTTGCAGAGGTGGAAGCCTGTCTCTCTTGTCTGTGTAACATTGTGCTCACTGCAGCATCTGAGAACTACAAAGATTTGAAGTTCAGTGGGAGATGCAAGAATGACAGTTGCTTTCAAGCCCCTTGTCCAATTGATCTATAATCAAAATCTGTATTTCTGGTCATCTAATCAGCAGTTTTCCTGCCTCATTTCAGCCATTATCTGTTACTTGGATACACATGGTGTGCTTTTCGTCAGTTGGGCTCAATGGAAAACTGTCCTGGGCTGGACCTGGCAGCAGGAGTTTAAGGTGATGGGCAGCTTGCAGGGGAAGATTTTCTTCATTCAGACAAGAGCTCACTGATGTATTTTGCATTGACTTAGGTTTCTGCACTTCACGCAATGCTCTTCACTTTCTCTTGTGGATAGTTTTTAGTTATACTGTGCTCCATCCTCCCATAAATCCCTCATTGCGTGCTCTTGCCACATTAGCATGGCCGGTACAGAGGCAGCACAGTCACTGCACCGACTGCCACCAAGGAACATAATTATGAACCTCCCATCACGGACTCGGAGCGACTGATTAGCGACGCCACAGGCTGAGCGGGAAGCATTTGTCACTGAAAGCTGACAGCACCAGGAGCCTTGTGAATAACAGGAAAGAGAGGGATTGTGCTGTATATTTCTGAGTGCTCCACCCTGCTGTCCAGGAGGGGCTGTGCTTGCTGATAGCTTCTGATTTCCTCTGAGCAGCATGCACAGGCTATGGGGATGACCATCACAGGTTGCCCTATTCTTCCCCTGAACCATACCACTCTGTAGAGAAGCATTTTGACTGCTTTGGCCCAGGATAAATTGCACTGCATGAATAATGGGGTTTTTTTCATTTAATGATGACAATGTTCCCACCCTCTCTCTTCGTCTAGGATATGGGCTGGCTTTAAATGTAAACTTTATGAAGTGTGAGGAAATGTTTGTAAAGCAAAAGCATCAAAAGCTATGTATCTTCAAACTGACCCTGAACATTTAATTTTGATTAAAAGGAAATGCTTTTATTTAGGCTTCAAAGTTCTTTCTCTTGTTGTTTGACAGCTTCTACTTTCTTTCATCTTTCCAAATGCAGGCAAATTTCAAAATAACAATAGTTCAAAACAAAAGATCAGAAAGTTTTGTTTAAGAAATGCTGGACTGAAATGATTTGATGTATATTTTCAGCCAAAGCTATTCACCAACTGAATCCAAATGGTCAAAACATTTGGTCATTTCCAGTCTCTCTTTTTCAGTATTTTCCTTCCTGTTCTCTTGGAAGAGGCCTCAGCAGTGAGGGAGGTCAGGAGGACATTAAGGGGCAACCTCATCCAGAGACTGAATCCTTGCTGGGCTGTGGTGAGCTGGTAAGTGCAGCGCTGTTGGCATTGCCACAGCCAGCTGGGCTAGGGAAACTCAACTGTTCTCCTCTCACATAAAAGCTCTATTCCCAAAACAAGCAACAGAACTGAGGAAGTTGCTGTCACCTATAATTAAATAATGCTGTCACTTAGCATTAAATATAAGCCAGTGTAAGCATGTCTATCAACATTATTGCAGCAGGAATTGATTTGATGGAGCAATTTGGTTGGCCATGTTCTTGCCAAGCAGGGCGGGCATACCCTGTACTGGCCTGATTTCTTTCAGACAACACTGATTGCATTTCTAGAGGTATCTGAGTCCCTCAGAAGACATCAGGCCATAGAAGAGATTGGCTTCTAAGTACCATGTTGTGTCTTGGGACAGGTTACAGGCAAATGTGAAAACCACAGAGTATGCCTGAAGCAGAGCCTCAGCTGGGATGAACCAAGATGGATTCGTCAGCTGCATGGACAGATGATCATCTGGACATTGCTTCTGAGCAAGTCTCACTGTGTCCCACCTCTGTTATATGACAGTAAAGGCAGGTCAGCCTTGTGCAGATTTGGTGAGGGCAGAAGGCTCTGCAGCTACAAGAGGCTGTCCTGATGTTCTGAGGCACACAGAGCAGCACCAGCCACAGGGCTGTGCAGCAGCCAGTGGGCATTTCTTGTCCCAGTCAGCCTGAGTGCTACCTGGCATCCCAGCAGTTTAGAGTGCTGCTCTTGAGATACAGCAGCCTGGAGGTGCTCTGTGAAGAGGGGCAAACTTCCTTAGCATCTAGGTCACAGCTGTATTTATACAGCTCAAAAAACAAAGACAGAAAAGTGCTCTGGGGCACAGAGCTTTAGCACTCAGCCAGTGAGGATATTAAAAAGGAGGGGAGATAAGCCACCAAGAGCTTCATTTCCTCTTCAGCTTCTTTCTAATTTATTCTCGTGTTTATTTAAATGCTCTGCTTTGGGAAACTGAGACTCCATTTCACAAAGTATTTAAAAGAATTTCACAGGCATAAAGAGCTGTCAGACAAGACCAATCTGGCTGCAAACCCTCCAGAGTGCAACAGAGAATTTAGGTAACTTTTTATGAAGTCTCCTTATGGTCAGACTCTGCTGCTCTGATCCTTTCTTGAACTCTCTGCCACACGAACAGATCGCTGACTGTTTGGGATCTGTGAGAAATAGGTATCTGTCTTCTGCCATGTGTGAGACAGCTCTGGGGAGGAAGAGACTGCTCAGATGGATTGTGTGTTGCTTGTACTGCCTTGATATGCAATGTTAACAGAGATGGGACATCTCTGACCTTTCTTGCTGCTTGAGAGGGTTTGGCATGCTGGAGAGGAAGTCCAGCGCCTGATAGTTCATGGCTGGGGCAGAGAGGTCATGGTTAAATTGTATGCACAGCACACATCACTTGCTACTTGGCTTCCTCCCACCCATCTCCCATTCCAATTCATCGCTATTACTGCAATGAATGCCCTAAAAAGAAATCCCCACTATGCACGGTTTGATGCTGGTTCCTGGAATCCACTGCAGTGGGCAGACAAGGCAGGGACCTGTCACCACTTCAGCAGCATGAGCCTTCAGGCAAAGCACTGGGGTGAGTGCTTGCCAGCATCTGCTATGGGAGAAGGTGCACAGAAGAGCTTTTTATTCTCCCATCAGTAGCACAGTGTCCTCAGCAATAGGGAATAGAGGAACTATGGAATGGGACAACCTGCTGAAATTATGTCTTTGCAGTTTGGTCCATCACAGCTGTGCTCGTGAGTTAAAATGGCATCTCCAGCTCCAGCCCTGCAAAGATCTGAATTTGTGCATTAGCTCCCTGCTCATATATTATTTGGGAGAGCTGGCTCAAGAGGACACAACAGGCCTGGACAGAAATGAAATATCCCTTAGACAAGTTCTGTCCAAATTTCAGTGTCCCAACAGCAGTCCAGCTGTTCCCAGGGATGATGACTAAGTTCACAACCTTCATTTTGAGACCAGAACCAAGTCCATTCTCTACTCTGGGGCTTTTTGAAACATCACATCTCTAAGAGCCATTTGTCATCCTTACCGAGACCTGATATTTATGAATTACTTCAGAATTTTACTGCTATGAAAAGCCATCTTAAAAATCAATTACCATTATTTATGGCTTACAACAGTTTCGGGGCAGGTATTCTAAACTCACTCAGATGTGTCTTAGTTCGTGACAAACAGGACTTGAACCCTGACTGGGGTGTTTGGACAGGCCTAGGTCTAATATTCAGTTTAGGTGCTTCTTACCTCACTCAGTCTACAGCATTCATCCATGTATTCATTCAGACTGTCACTTGTGGGGTACTTCTTCAGCGGATGTTCATGGATCTGAAGGTCTTGCACGCTGCCAAAATTCTCTGGGAAATTGTCAGCAATTGTCTTTGGCTCTTCTATGGGACCTGGGGTGGAAAGAGTGCTTTCCCTGGAAAGGTCCATCTCTGGGGTAGGTTCCTTTTCTGGAAACTGCTTGTCACTCTGGTCAAAATCAGGATTTTCTTCCTGAGGGACGCTGAAGTCTTCAAGGGAAGCTGTAGGACCCTGCACAGCATCTGCCTCCTGGCTGTAGTAATCATCTTGGTTTTTGCTCTCTGGATCTTGGAGGCTCACTTTTCTGGCATGTTCTTTACATGTTCTCATTAGCTGATGGTCAATTTCTGGAGAAGAAGAGGTGCTAAGCACACCCGAGTCACAAAATGAGTCTCTGCTGTGAAGCACAAAGCTCTTCTCTGAGCCAGTCGGTGTCGATGGAGAATTAGCCCCACTTGGCAATTCAACCCCTGAGTCCTCAGATTCAAATTTGGAGAATCTATGAAGCCGGCACTTGGACTCAAAGGCGCTGAGGTCAGGCAGGGTGGGTACGTAGTCAGTGCTTGCCGGGCCATCTGCACAGTTTGGATCTGCCGGTGCGGCTGCTGCATTTGGATTTTCCAAGCAGTCTGGTGGGAGGCTGGCGCCGGGAAGATGGGACTCTTCTGTGCAGGCTGTGTCAGCTGGAGCCTCTGGGATTAACCCTGGGTTTTGAATTCCTTCATTGCTCAATATCTTCATGTGTGTTAACACAACTTTGTCCTCAGCAGGTGGGCTCTTCTTACCTGCTTAAAAGAAAACAAGCAGAAGGTCACAGAAGGCAACAAAACTCAGTGTCTAATGCATCCCCTGAGGAATGTGGAACATATAACTGCCTATACTAAGGTGATAGAAGGGGACAGCCCTAATTTGTTTTTCTTGAGCTATATGAAGTTTTCTTGTAAGCTTTGCTACAACAAAAGTGTTGTGTTTCATAGCCCCAGAGTCCTTTAGGGGGACTCAAGTGCACACAGAGTTCTGATTTAGTAGATAGGTAGAAAACAACACAGGTAGCCAGATGACTTTTTAGTGATTACCTGCATATAGATGCAGAGAAGTACATGTTCCTTCAGCATGATAGATATTAATTTAAGGCTAAATATTTTCTCTGATTTAAATGTATTCTGAACCAGCAGAAAAAAGAGTAAAACAAAATCTGTCCACAGGCTTAAGTGAATTTGGGGTTGCAATAAGCAATTTGCAAACTGTTTGGTAATCTCTGCAGTATTCTCTGCACACATACAGGTGACAAAAAGCAAGTCCTGATAAGAAAAGCAAATGAGGCACTGTAAATCTTTTTCACTCCCTGAATGGTTTTAGCTATGAAGTAATTTCTTTAAATGAAATTACTATTACTCTTTACCTATTTGTAAAGAGTAAGGAGATGGGGGCAGCTTTGTTCAAGAGCTTTTTGCACACAGACAAAGAAGACTTGTTTTCAAATCACAATTATTTTACACAGTAACCTGGTAGAACAGTCTCTGGATGAAAAGCTGATCTTCAGGAGATGAAGATCTGCCCCAGGTTTTCTTACAGCTTTTTATTAATATAATATTTCATAGTGCAGACTTCTGGATCACAGTGGTATGAGAGCCAGTGGGAAAGTTCTGCATCTACCCTTTAGCAAACTGCAAATCTCAGTTCCAAATCCATCTGATTGTGGATTTGGAACCAAGAATTACTGCAGTACAAAACTTCAGTTTCTCTGGTATCTTTTCCCTTACTAGTGCCTAACCCAGAGCACCTCAGAGGGCTACAATGCGTACACTTTTCTGGATATCTTACTTCCTACTTCATTTCCGATCATTCCCCCCTCCTCTTTCCTTTTTGCCTGAATCAAACCAGCAGCAGCTTCACAAACTCGCTCCCAGTAACGTAACTGTGCCTTGGATCCACACCACCAGTGTGGAGCAAGTTCTGCTGTGCAGCTCTCCTTCATAGTAACCTAGAAAAATTCCTGTTTCAGAAATAACCCGTTTTCCAGCCTTCCCTCCTCCAGCTTGCTTTCTGCAATATACACAGACAAGGCAGACTTTTACTCATTAAGGCCAAGCTAACTAGTACATGGACATTTTCTACTGTATTTAAATTTCCTTTTATTTGATCTTTTGAATTTCCTGGGATGCCACTGAAATGTGCCCTTTGCTGTTCATAGACACCCACAGATTTAATATTTTACATTGGATTTTCATAAAGGGCAGTGAGTGATAAATAATCCCATCTGATGGGCTTTTTTGTGGCACTTGGGCACACAGTGCTTACAACACCTTATATAAGATCTTGTTTATCATATATAGAATTGCACTGCCTCTCTTAGCAGGATTCACAGACATCTTTCCAGTGCAAAGAGTCACATTTGGGACAGTCAGTGCCAGACCTCAGCAATACAACACCAGTACATTGCTGTGGTGAGGGACAAGAAAAAGACATTGCCCACAGAAATGCTCAGGGAAGTTCATCAGGAGCTGCCTGTGCCGGGCTGTGTTGTCATTCTTCCAATTTTTGGATAAGCATGAGGGACCCTGAACTGAGGACAAAGAATAGGATGGCTGGTTTGCAGCTTCACACACAGCAAAACACCAGCTGTAAGAGAGAGCTGAGTGCCAGGTCTTGGAAGGAGGTGGAGCTGAGTCACTTTTGATTTGAAGTGAAGAGGATCTACCTGCTCAGCTGCAAACATCTCTTGGCAGTGAGAAGCAAAGCGTGTATCTGCATGAAAAAATACAAGGCTTACAGGCTCTTCTGATGGCATCACCACCCCAGCTAGCCAACAAAACCACTGAGAGTCAGGAGGACAGCAGTTGCACTCCTCCACTTACTTTTAAGAACAAACCATAGAAGTGTCACTCTTACCAGGAATTACTATATGCAATAGTAGTTCCTTCCCACAGACTGATTGCCTTCACTTATTAATCATGCCATGCTGGATTCTCTTACTTCTTTCAATCTGCCCCTTTTTCTTCTTGCTTAACTGGTTTTGCTCTGGCCTACACAAACATTTCTTTGTCTGAAATCAGGAAGCAGCATGTTAAAATGAGGTCTTGCTACTTACAGAAGATGTCAGACACTTTAATTCATATCTTTTATGACTACAAAAACTGCAACATGTACCAAAAAGTTTGGCTGCAGTAGAAAAAAAATAGAAGATGAGATGAAATCTCTGACTCTCTGTGTGAGGATTGCCTTGATGCCAACAACAAAGCCCTTTGCTCTCCCCCTACTGTGGTCACTAACAACATCACATGGTTTCACAAAAACTTCTTGTTTATCTGTTCTAGACTGCAAACCATTGATCTCAGCACTGTCATATCCTGTTAACCCCAGTGTTGAGTATTTCTTATTTATCCTCCCAACCCTTTGTGATGATGCAAAATGTTATCATCCCCCTACCACAAGAGCAGAATAGAGGCAAAGGATGGCAGGATTTTGCAACACACTTAGGCACCTCATCCTCATTCATTCAATGATACTTTCCCATGGTCAGTGAGGTCATCTGTGCTACAGCAGAGATCTCCCATGATTAAGGCAGTGACCTGAAACTCAAGTTATTCTTGTTGCACCTCACTGACACAGCAGTCTCTTTTCTTCCTCTCTGTTAATTGAGTTATGGAATCTAAACCATGGGGCTTCCAACAAGCAGATTTTTTCTGCTACATATCTTGAAAGAGGCATACAAAAGTGCTCAGTTCTTTCAAGCATATCGCTAACAAACACCAGAATGGTGCAAATAAAGCTCATCTGCGCAATTACAAAAAAAAAAAAAAGTGAGCCAGAACCTCAGCTGCTATAAATTTACTAATTTCCAGGGCCCTTAACAGAACTGTGTTAGCTAGCTAATTTTGGCTGAGGACTTGGCTTGTAAGTGCTTTGTTAGGGGCCCTAAGCAAAGCAAGCAAGGGAGATGAACTTCTGCCTGGCACGGAGGGAGCATGCTGTAGGGGTATGGTTACAATCCTGCTCAGAGACTTCTGAAAGGAGGTGTGAAGAACTTCAGAGAGCTGAACAATGGCATTAACGATGGTAAGATGTATTTAATTGCGCTGGAGGCCAGCCAGGTTTGACACTGCTGCTCCTGGGAATTCAGCCAAGATTTTTTTGTTGTTGTTTTTTGTTTCTTTTGCCCTGGACTGGTTTTCCACACCCCTCTGGGGTGGGGGTAAGGTATCAAACACTGCAGCTTTTAGGCAGCTGGCTGGTCCACTGGTATGGCAGCCAGGGAAGGAATGGAGTTTTGTGTGCATGTTTCAGAATAAGTATAGCTTCCTCAAGCATCTCAGCATGCGTGCCCAGGCCAAACTTTGTCTCAGGGTAGCTTGTGCTACTTGCCTAGTAGCCCTCTCAAAGGATTATACGGCTCTGTAATCACCCTAGAGATAAACAGGGTTCCCTGCATTGAAATATATGCTGTAACTGACAGTGACTGATTATGTATAACCTTGGGAAAGTTGCTGGGTTTCTTGTGCCTGTACAGCTGGAGAATAATATTGCTTCCCAACTCATGGGAAGGTGGTAACACTGAAGTAGCTATTAGCTGAAGGTCATTATTAGGGAGTAAAAGGAATGGATGTGTCCCACCTAAGTCTGTAGAACTTTGCTTTGAATCGTTTTCAGATCGTTTTCTAGGATATTTCTCTGCTGGCAGTTAGCATAGCCTAACAGGGAAACTTAAGTCTTTCAAAGGTGAATACCCTCCCATCAGCTCCTGTCCCAAGGCTTCCCTTTTTTGGAGTTTTAAGTCCAAGTATATTTTTCCAGTTGCATAATAACTAGCAGCTGCCACAGCTCAGCCTCATGCATTAATACAGAGATTTCTGACCAGGAGAAAGAGGGTGAGTATCTAAACATGAAATTGCTTTCAAGCATTTTCTTTATCCCAAGTAACTTGCATGCAAGAGATGAACAACTGCTCAGGCAAAACTCCTGTGTGTTTCCAGTCCTGCTCAGGCCCAATTCCTGCAAAAGCTCCCATCTTTCTAGTAAACCAATCTAAAGTCTGTATCCAAATCCCCATGCTCCAAAGCACTGGAACCCATGTCTGATTTTTTTTCCTTTTCTTTTTTGCATCTATGCCTGTAGCTCAAAGCTGTGTTTCATTGGCATTTTCTTCAGTGCAAGCCTTGTTAAGCTACATCCCTGAGAGGGTCCTTGGCCTCTGATGCACTGACTTAAGTATCATAGCACATGGTCTTCTGATGTATCTGGCTAACTGCTGGATGGGAAGAGGCCAGGCTGGCAGTGGGATGAGTGCTCCTAGTGGCAGTAAAGAGCTATACTATACAGCACTGCCCTTTGCTGCTCTCCTCCCTTCCAATCTCTGCCCACCTGTCTTCTCAAAATGTTCATCTTCATTTGTAAGTTACTTGGCAGAGGAGGATCTCTGTTAAACATGTGCACAGTGACTGGCACAACTGGAACCAAAGCTTTCCTTGTCTTCATCTGCTGCTGGAGCAGCATTAGAGCTGTGGCAGCCTTCTGCTTGTCCCCAGAGCTGATGCAAGGTCTGTGTGCACAGTAAACCCATCCACGGTGGGTGGTGCTGGCGGGGTTGTGCAGGGTGAACAGTCCAAAGATACTCAGAGAATCTATTCCTCCCTCTACTACTGTCTGCCACAAGACATGCAACACCCTCTACACTGCAGTTCTTTCCAACTGTACTGTGTCACAGGAGCAGAGCACCAAAAATAAAGGGCATCCCCAATGACTTGGGTTGTTAGAGTAGAGGGACTTTGCATAGCTGCCTTGCAAAGGAAGACCAAAGTCAAACCCCAGCACTCCTACCAATCTGCTTAGCCCTCAGTACAGGAGTAAGATGCACATGCAAAGCCGCAGAAAAGGTTTTTCATCATCCTATAGGGAACGCACACAGCCTGCCTAGCAACTCCTCTCTGGCTCCAGCTTAAAACCCTGTGCCATGCAAGACTGGTTCTGTGATGAGCCTGTGGCCTTCAAGTAACAGACTAGAGATGATTGTCAGCTTTTGAAAAATCATTAGGTAGCAGTGACTGGTGAGCTGGAGTCAAACTCATGACCTAGAAATGGAAGGCTGCCTCTCCCATTAAGTCCTTGCATTCCCTCATTTCCCTTCCTTCCTTTACAAAAAGTCTCCCTTTAGTTCTGTCACTGTGCCACATTCTCTAACGCTGCTGGCAGTACAGCTCAGGTGGTATTTCCCTTTAACTTCGAAGAGGTGATTTTTTTTTTTTCTCACCAATGATGAGGTCTCAATTTCCCAGCATTTAAGAGAAAAGGGGTCACTTCCTTTCTGAAACAATAGGCATTTTTTGCTGCTGACTCTTCCCCCATATGTGCTGAGGGGTGGGGCTGGGTGCTGGGGCGTGCTGGCACCTCCTCAGCACCAGCAGCCCCCACACAGTGCCTGAGGGAGCTGTGTTACTTTCCCGGCTGGGCAAGGGCTGTCCCTTGCATAGCCCTGTGGGCACAGAGAGGCACTGCATAGACAGGACCTCAGTACTCACAGGAACTGGATTACTCTTATGCTGCCAAAAAACTAAACCCAAACAAAACAATCCAACAAACGAAAGAAATTCCCACCCCAAAAAAATGAGCAATTACTACCAATCGACGCTCTGGGAAGAAAATCTGTCTCTACAGAGCTTTGCCGTGTATTTCCATGGGCCAGGGATCTCCCCAACCACCTGGCGCTTTAATGGACTGTTGAAGACCTGATCCCAGTCCCGGCAATGGCAGGGGTGCTGCTTGGCACTAAGGGTCTGCAATCTGCCTTCCCAATGCCTTTCAAGCAAAGCATGCTGAGTATGCTGCTGGATCTTGGGCTGCCCAATCTGAGCAAAGGCTTCTCCTTAACAATTAGGGCAATCATGAGCCTAAGAATTTCTAAGAAGAGCTTATCAGAAGGTCTTGTGTCTTCAGTGCACCCGTTACTGCGACTGGAAAATTCACATTTGCAGAAGAACACACTCCCATGTGGTAACTGAATATTTGCACCATAGACCAAATTCTTGAAATTTCAGTTTATCCAACCAGGAAACTGAAATGCATGTGGATTTCATGAGAGTACATACACAATTTGATTTGCTTGAAATTCGAATGCAAAGGCATAGTTATGACAAAGCTGAGATTTTAGACAGTCCTTGGAAAAAGCACAAATTTTTTGGATCTTTTGGCTCCAAGGTGGTCTCTAGTCTCACTGTTAGTTAAGTGTGTGAAGTTCCTTTGGATCCTAGTTCAGTAATAAAATGTGACCAGAAATTTTATAGGTCAGCACAGCTGCAGCTGGTAATGATAAATCCATATAAAGTAGATGCTGAGAGAAAGATAACACGGTTCAAGGACTCTGACTGAGGAGGCATTCATGACTTTAGTACATATGTTTTAGAAGAGGAGGAGATAATTATAGCTCTTTGCAAGCATTTGAGGAGGAATGAGAAGGAGATTGATTGTTTACTGATTGATACAGTTGGGTGAACTAAAGAGGAAATGGATTTCCAAGTGGAGAGGCCACTTGACACTTTTACAGCTTGCTTCTATTCATTCCAAGTGACCTGTGAAGTTTTTGAAACCTAAAGACAGGTCTGATAGATTAGTGACCTCTGTTAGAAAGTCCCAGGGCACAGCAGGTCCCCACAGACCACCTGGTTTATCAGTTATTTGTGTAGGCTGTCAGTGTTCAGTTTTTAGACCAACACCTGACCCTGTGCATAGTGCCAGCTGAAGAGCCTGTCTCACTCATTACTGCATTTACCCTGCAACTTATTTCTTTATATATTATATATATGTGTTATATATATATTAATATTTATATATGATATATGGCCCAGTGGGAAAACTGGGACAAGGATAATTTCAGTGCACAAGGATCAGTGCCCAAGTCCTCTCCACTCTGCAATGTAACCACTCCTGATGTTGGGGGTAGGTTCAGCTCTCACAATCACCTATGGTGCTTATTTGTGAGATTTTGTCAGGGAGATGACAGCTGTCACTAAAATCCTTCTCCTTGGAAATTCCCATGTGCTCCTTCAGGAGAAAGGTTCAAAACATTAACTAAATAAAACAGTGTTTTCAGGAGTAGCCCTGTATAACAGCAAAAGATTGTTTAGCACACAGGTCACAGATGTGTCTGACCAGAAAATGAAAACAATGGAAACAAATATACCACAAATTAGCAAAGACTGTCTAATTTAGGAGATCTTTTCCATGTTCATCTGATCTGCAGGCTGCCTCAAATCATGGAGGATTATTCAACCAGAAATGAACTGGGAGACAGGAGGCCCTTTGCAAGGAGGGAACGTGTCCCCCAGGGATGACAGGTATGTAGTAATTCAGGTTTTATTGCCTATAATAAGCTTGGATAAACAACTGTTCAATAGCCCCAGAGACCAAGGCCATTTAGACACCAGTGCTTCAACTGAAGCCAGAGGAACCCATGAATTGTATTGGAAAGGTCACTGTTAACCCATTCTTCATGTGCAGTCATTGCTGTCCTTAGGCAAAACCTGGAGAGCTGCTTCTGCTCAAACAAGGTAGCGATGGACAGGTGTGTAACCATACTCTTGCATGTCTGAAATCTTTTATGGTTGCAATAAGAGCAGTGACGGTTTTGGGGTTTGTTGCTCATGCTGAGGCCACAAAAGGACCTTGGGGAAATGATGAGGTGGTGGTGATGCAGAGTGATTCTGTAACTGCAGTGAACTGAACTCGCAGGTACAGAAGCTCCTGCCACACTGACACTTCTGCTCTAATAGCCCCCTCGGGGGGGGGGGGGGGCAAAATCCAACCTATATCCCTGTTACTGAGCTGCCACTTAAAAAAAAGTTTTGTTTGGTTTAAGTTCTCTATCTTAGGCTGCAGCTGGAGATACAACTTTTTAAGTCCCTGCCACAAAGCTTGCAAGAAAGAGCATTCTTGGTTCTTTCTTAGTAGAGATGTGGTCCAAACCAGGATATATATATATAATATTTGGTGCCTCCTTCTAGCTGAGGTGATTAGGGAGCACTGTCCCTGTTTCTTATTTGGAGAAATTCTAGCTGAATCTCTTTGATTCCTTAGTCCTCTGTGTGATAAGTCTGTTCCTCCACCAAAGCTTTCACCTATCCTGCCAACAATACTGCTGTGCCTGGGCGATGAGGGACATTTCCAGGTGGAAGAGCAAGCTTCCTTCCCCCCCCTAACCCTACCATTAGGTTTGCACTACATATCTTGGAGGGAATAAGTTCATGGTCAAATTACATCCAGGGAAAAATGGAGCAGTTTCTTCCATACTGTGAAATGACATCTCTTCAAACACTTCCCACATCTTATGGGCATGCTGGCATGCTCTCACAGCAGCACTGCTCTAGAGCCCTTCGTGTCATTGGGTAGCAGTCTCCAGACCAAACCCAGGCAGAGCAATGTGCTTCAGTAGCCTTGCTGGCAACAGTGCTCAGCAGTTACCTGCTAGGGCACTTCCGAGAGGCTCCAGTTCACACTGAGCTCTAAGTAGCTGCCCCAGACCAGGATAGCTGGGAAACACAATCCAAGCCTTGAGTACCTGAGTGGATGCCCATGGATGTGGTGCCTCCGGTGACTCTGTGGGAACTGCCTGTGCTGCAGCAGTCCAAGGAGATAGATCTTTTTTGGCATAAAGATGGGAAGTCAGGACTCCAGGAGGCAAAACCACCCCAAACACAGTGTTTTGCAACATCTTTACCATCCTGCTGTTGTGCAGCAGGCTGCATTTAGACCCTGGCAAACACTGTCTGGAGCCACCTCCATGCCAAGCAAACCAACCCAGTGCAGTGATGCTAATGGGACAGAAGCTGCTGGTCTCGTTTACAGCTGACACAGGGCAAGCTGAGGGGTGAACAGGGATGTTAAAAGAATTCTGCTACCTGGGGCTTGTGATCTCAGAGCCTGTAGCTCTGGCTAAGGAATAAAATACATTGGACCCGTTACGCCTGAAAAAGACATACTGAGACCACATAATTTGCTTTCACAACAGACTTAAAAAGTTACAAAGTGATCAGCTGCAGAACCATAGCTGCCTTCCCTGCCAGGGTCACCTCCTCTGCGCAGAGCAGGAGGGAGCACGTAGAACATTTCGAACCCGCGATAGAATTATCTATCTGCTGCACGGGGATGTACCAGCCTAGAAAGCGATCCGATGTCCGCTGCCCGCGCAGTGACGGGCGGAGGGCAGCCCCGACCCGAGCGGTGCGGGGGGCAGCGTGTGCCCAGCGCTCCGATGGGTGCCGGTCCCTGGGCAGCACGGCGCTCGGAGCCACAGCGCTCCCACCTCCCCTGCTCCTCTCTCCCAAGCTTTGCCGCGCTTACCAAGGCGAAATAAACCCATTTAAAGAGGGAAATCAAACCGGTTCCTGAACCGCGATCCTTGTCCCCGCCGGACCCGGGGCAGGAGCGGAGGGGCCGGAGGCTGAAGCGGGAGGGGACGCGCTCATGGCAGACTCACCTGCGTGGGGACAGAGGCAGCCGGAGAGCAGGGAGCGCAGCATGGGGACGGGGCGGCCGCGGCGCCGTGCCCGGCCGGCGGGGCCCAGGAGCCGGGCGGGCCGGGATGGGCTTGCCCTAAGTACCGTCTGCGCGGCCGCTGAGGGGAAGGAAGGGGGTGGCGGAGAAGCGGCTTTGGGGAGGTGTTGGCAGCCGCGGGGGCCCCGGGGAGGGCGGAGGACTCACCTCTCCAGGGCGCTCCCAGGGTGAAGCTCCGGTGCCAGCTGAACATCCCGGCAGCAGCCGCCCTCAGGGGCGGGCGGGGCACGGGGACGGGGGTGCCATCGCTGCCGGCTGTCCCCGAGCTTTGCGCGTCCCTCGGCGGGCGAGCGGGACCGGGCACCGGGCTTAGGGCATGGCCGGGCAGCGGGGGCAGCGCGGAGCGGGCAGTGCTGCCGGCGCGGAGGCTGCGGAGCGGAGGGCGGGCGGGCGCCCGGCCAGCAGTGACTTATAAAGGGAGCAGCCCAGAGGAATGCATCTCCTGCGCCTGATAAGCCGAGATGACTGGAGGGGTTTGAACTACCTTTGCAGCCCCCAGAGGGGGGGGGGAGAGAGGGAAAAAAAGGACGTGAGAGGAAAAAAAAGAAAAATATTTCAGTACTTGCATAATGTCAATAAACAACTCCCCTCTCTAGTGGCAGGGAAGGCTGGAATGTTTTGGGTGGGGAGGAGAGAGTAAAGTGGGTTTGGTGTTTTGTTTTTGTTTTCTTTTCAGGTTTTTTCTTGTTCTCTATTTAAATCACACGTTGTTTGTTCATAATGCAAAAGTGCCTTGGTTGTCGCTGGGGCTACAGGTTATAGGTAAGAAGGGTGAGGAGGAAGCGGAAGGACTGCCGCGGGTGCAAAATCTCATGGGCAGGTTTGTGGTGTCACCCCACTGGAGTGAACTGGGAATATGCAGGCCAGGCATGAAGAGTTCTGGGCACGGTTGAGCTACCTGGAGTGCTGCCTTGGGAAACATGTAGGAAATTACTCCTAGGCTAGGTTTAAGCAGTACAAGTTCCCTACAACCAGCAGCCCCATAACCTATTTGGGGTCTCTGCTTGCTAAGAGAGCACCAGTCCCTGCATTACTCTCCCATCCAGACTTCTGCTGACACAAGCACTCTCAGGAGAAAATGTCCTGCTCCACCGGTTAAACCGGCCTAATTCTGTGGACTTCAGCTGTCCATAGGATCAGTGGCCCCAAGGAGATCACAGAGGGGCAGTGGTGCTACAAATACCATAAGAAAGTGAGGCGGGGGGAGATCAGTCCAGTTGCCCGCTTGCTCTGCAGGTGCAGGTCCTCCCGTGCCTCTGCAACACTCATCTCAGGACAGGTATCAAGTAAAGTAAATTGACTTTTTGTTGTAGCAGTCACTGGAGTTTGCAGATTAGCACCAGTTACAATCTAAAGACAGGGTGTTTAATTGGCCCCTTTTCTCCACCACATGCTTTATTAATTGTTCCCAAACTTGTGTCATCCAACAAAGGGCATCCTTCCTCCCCAGGCTGAGAGATTCTTTATATTGCTCCCCCCTTGCCTCCCACTACAGTGGGACAGAGTTTTTGTGGGCTGCATCTGATTTTCTTGCAACACTCCAGGCACTCACTGTGCATCCAGTGCCTGTTCATGTTTTTCTGAGAAACCAAAGAGTGTGGGTTTTTTGTGTGGACAGAAGCGGGTTTTCCACACTCTTTGGGCTGGTGAGAAGGAAAGCTGTAGGTTCCCTTGGGGAAGGAGGTCCCTGTTTCCTGCAGTGAGACAGTCCCAGGCCAGGGAGGTGTGCAGGACTGTGGTTAGTGCTGTGTGCTTGGTGTGAGACGTGCTGCCATGTTCTACACGTGCAACCAGCCCAGGCTCACCATCTCAGCTCCCAGCTGCAGTGGGCAGACTTAAATTATTAGAGCAGCAGAAGAGTAGTTTACAGATGCCTTAGCATGAATTCAGTAGCATTGTTAGCAGCCAAAGGAATTCTGGAGACCAAGTATTATTCTCTCACCTTCAGCTCTGCCACCCATATACCATTTCATCTCCGTTCTTTCTGCCCTCTTGCTGTATTGTTTTGTACACTGCTGAGCACATCACACTCCTATATTACCCAGAAACTTTTTTTTTTATAGTAACTATTTTGGAGAAGGAAAAAAGCTACAATGCTGAGGTCTGTAAATAGCTGCAACCCAAAGTGCTCTGAAATGTATATATTTTGTAGTAAGCAAAATGTTTTATGCTGTCAGAAATCTAGATTTCTAAGGAGAGTCTCAAGCTGGCTTGAGACTCAAGCTCAGTTTACCCCCTTGTGTTCAACAAATGCTTGAGGCCAACAGAAATTACTGTGTTACCAAATATAATAAATAAAAGAATCCACTGACAGTAAGCTTTTGAACAAGAATAAAACATCCCTTGGAATGTGCACAAGACAAGTGCTCTAGCCCTGGGCTAGGGCAAATATGGAATGAAAATGGCTGGCAATGAGCACAAGATTTTAATGCTCCAGGTATTCTCACAAGAGGGAGTGTTTGTGTGTATGAAACTGATAATTAAATTGGAAATGCCCTGTGTTGACAAAATATGGGACAGTAGCAAAGTTGTTGTTAGTTGTTGTACATGGTTATTTTTGTCTACACTTAAAAAGTTTTAGTAGCATAACTGTGGTTTTTGTATTTTTTCAACTCAGATTTATTTGCTGTATTAGCATCAAAATGTTTTACACTTGAATAGCTTAGCACTAAATCGGGAAAAAGCATTAGCATGCTTTGAACTTTTATTCCAGTGTAAAAGCATCTACCTGGAGGGAGATTTTACCATTTTATTCTTGTATTATTAATAACAGTGAAACCTTCCAAAGGGTGGACACCACTGATTGCAGCCCTCATCAAAAACAGCCCACAAACAAGAAATGGAAGTGATGCCTGGTTTTGGTGTCCAAACTTGAAAAAAGTGCAGAAAAGGGAAACTGATTATTAATGTGCTTTTGTCTAAACCTTGTGAACACCCTTGACACGGGAAAGGTCATATCCCCTATGTACAGAAATACATTGAACCTTGTTGCTGCTATAGTACGAAAAAGAAAGGATGCCTCTATCCTGCAGCCTCATCTCTTGTCTGGCAGTGAGAGTATTGCCAGATCTCACTATTTAATTGGGAGTTTTGAGGCACATTGGCTCATTTTCCCTAAAGTCCAGCCTGTTAGTGAGGGGACTGTGGGGCGCTGGGGCTGAGCTGTACAGTGCTGTGCTGGGACTGAGCACAAGAATGGAGAGGAACCTGCCTCAGGGACAGCCTGAAGACTGGGGACACATTACCACTGACTTCCAAAAACCTTGTGGGTTTTGGTACATGCTACATCTGCCCTTTCCCTGCAGCTGCCGGTTCTTGTGCTGTGTCTCCTTCCCATTCATCCGGGTGCTGAGAGTATGGGATGGGTTCTCCAAACTGTAACTGGGCAGGAAATTCCCTCTTGAGCTGCACAGGATGTAACAGGAAGAGGAAAAACCTCTTAGTCAGCATCAGCTTCATTTCTGATGGATGCATCAATTTCCTCAGTCATAAGAAAACCCTCCACCCAAAGAAGTCCCCAGTTGTGGAAAGCTGTTGTGTCTCTGGATCCCCTGGGCATACAGCTGCATCCTATCTTTCTTGTCATCTTTGTCAACTTGGGGCTTCTAGGAAGCATCTTCAGAGCAGAGGGCACTTCCCTACTGTGGAAAAGTCAGGCACAAGCTCTCAGGGAGCTGCTCACACCAAGGAGGGTGGGTGAGGGTATTAGCCAAGGTCTGTTTATAGTGTAATTCCCAAGTTAGGCACCTCGAAAGCAAGAGAGGTAAAAAGATTTCATGGTGCCTCCTAAAAGTATGTGGGCCATTGTGTTGTTCCCTCATGCCCCAGTTAGGGGCGTGTGCAATCCCAAATCTTCCATAAAAATGATTGCCACTGAGATGCTCTGCAGGATGCCTGTCAAATGTGAGCCATGCTTCAAAAAACTCCCCAGGAGCCAAATTATGCAGTAGCAGGACAGAGCCCTGAGCAAGTGCAGCTCTGCATGGGTGAGCATTCCTGGTTGGGACAGGTGTTCCTCTGCTGTTTGGCTTTAGGCATGTCCCATGTGCAAATAACTTCATCTCCTTCTGCTGCAGCTTGTCTGGGAGAACAGGATTTTTCTAAGTAGTTTCAAGACCCATCTTCTTTAAGTTGTATGGCCCCCAAATCACAGGATTTCTCATGCATGTAAAAAGCCTCTCCACCTGGCGTGAAGTATTTGTGGTGACGAAAAACACATTCCAGTGTCATTGTCACTGTGGTTTTCACACTGAAGCACATAATGAAATAACTGTCAACCTTTCATCATATGTATATATTAGACCTTGTTTTCCATCCCATTCCCTGACCCCTCAGTTAAAGGCTGGATCTGGACAGGTTGCTTGACTAGGTCCCGGATTGTTTTGTACACCTGCAGTGTGGCAAAAAAGGACCCTGTGTAATTCAATCACATCCTTGACTTGAATATGATTTCTTTCATTCTGATACAACAAGTTTTTGAGATGTAGCTGGCAGAGGGACATCGGATCTGTGTAATGGTTTGGGAAAAAGGGGTGAATTTGATGTGGTGTTATGGGGAGGCTCCCCAGCAGCAGAGAAAGGACAGGGAGGATATGGTCTGTGCAGCATCCATCAGGGTTGGCTTGGACCTGTTCCCTATGGGTGACTATAAGGAGTTGCTCTCTGTTTTAAGTTTTAGCTACTTTTGCCATGCCAGATCAGCCATGCCAGCAGTGCTGTATTGATATCACTTAAGTGAGCACTCGCAGCACCTTCTGCATGAGGGTGTCAGTGCCATCCTGGGGGTAGCCTGGTGCCATGGGGCTCTTGCCTTGCACTGCACCTGCATGCATGGCTCAGGGGAGCCCTTGCTGTCTCAGTCAGGAGCCCCTCGCAGGAGGGCCAGGTCAAGGGAAAAAAAAGAGGTGTGGGTTCAAAGAGAAATTGCATTATATTTGCATTCCTGTAAACAGAAGTTTCCAGAACACTCCAGCTTCCTGTGAAATGGTTCTCTTGCTAACTTGGCAGTGGTATGCATGTGTACAGCTTGTACGGGTGAAGGTTTGGAATCACACAAGAGGAAGTTGTTTTACTGCCATGCACTTATGGTGCAAAAAATAGATTGCTGGGGTAGTGACCAGCTCTCAAATCCGTTAGCAGTAGTGTGTTAACTCTTGCAAATCTTGTGTTGTGCTCCAGACACTTGTTTTAGTCTAAATACATTTCAGTTTTTGCCCTTCCCTCAGGGAATCAGATATGCTTAATTAACACTTATTAACCCTTAATACTCAAAATGAGAAAAAACCCTGTCTGTACAAGCAAAACCCCTCTGTATCTTCTCTGCCTCTCTCATGGA